ACATGCATACTATACACTGATGGGTTGACCGACACTTTTCACTTGATTGACAAAATATACCACACAGAACTACAGAGATAGAGATATGTATATAAATTTAATACAGTTAGGAACACTTCAAGCATATAATACAGTTAGAGACACTTCAAGTATATAATACAGTTAGAGACTCTTCAAGTATATAATACAGTTAGGAACACTTCAAGCATATAATACAGTTAGAGACACTTTAAGTATATAATACAGTTAGGAACACTTCAAGCATATAATACAGTTAGAGACACTTCAAGTATATAATACAGTTAGGAAAATAATGACATTAAATAATTAGATTGAAACTAGATTTTTAAATGATTTATTTAATATATATTCTTGCAGAAGTAAACCAGTATGTTTATTTTGATATATTGATACTATACTTATCAGAGTATAATATTTGAGAAATATATTTAGTTTCTGCTGACTGGTCAACAATATATTTTTATATAATAAATATGTTTAGATATTTGACCTTGGTAAAAATAGATTATGTATCTAGACATTACTTAACATTTTTATCTTATCGTAAATAAGTTATCACTAACATTCATCTCAAAAACACTTCAGTGCTCCATTTTCATATTACATTACATTGTACTCAGGGAGTAAATGGAATGAGTGATCAGATTTATTTACAGAAAATGCATTATTTTAGAACAAATCATAGATTCAATTTACATAAAATATTCTGTATAAAAATATATGCAGATNCCCACCCTCTTGATATTTTGACATTACTATTAGTTAGATATTGTGGTTTGAAGATGTATTGTATTATCAGTCATATCTGCATATTCTGGATCTATTGCATGGTTTGAAGATGTATTGTATTATCAGCCATATCTGCATATTCTGGGTCTATTGTGGTTTGAAGATGTATTGTATTGTCAGCCATATCTGCATATTCTGGATCTATTGTGGTTTGAAGATGTATTGTATTGTCAGCCATATCTGCATATTCTGGATCTATTGCATGATTTGAAGATGTATTGTATTATCAGCCTTATCTGCATATTCTGGGTCTATTGTGGTTTGAAGATGTATTGTATTGTCAGCCATATCTGCATATTCTGGATCTATTGTGTGTTGAAGATGTATTGTATTATCAGCCATATCTGCATATTCTGGATCTATTGCATGGTTTGAAGATGTATTGTATTATCAGCCATATCTGCATATTCTGGATCTATTGCATGATTTCGAATCTAAACTTTCTTTAAGAAAAATTTAGTTTGCTTGCTGCAGAATATTTAATGCCTTAAACGCAAATGTCACAAATATAAAAATAGATTTTTCAAATTGTTTTTATCTAACAATTTGACATTTTAGAAAAATGAAAGTCACTTTTTTTCAAAGGAATTGAGTTTTTGCCACAAACTCAAATTTTCACACACTGATATATTCTCAAACTGATGGTGTTAACTTTAATGGTATCAAACTTTGACTACTTAATCTAACAGAGTTCATAGTTTGAAATATCAAAGGTATAAGACATTGGATTGCAAAGATATAGGAATTAGAAAACCTGAATTTATGGCAAAAACTCAGTTCCTTTCTTTTTTTCTTTTATAATATTGTTTTTTTTCCCGCACAATCAGACTGAGTCATTAAATTTAAACAATCTATTTCCAAAGTAAACCTTCACTTTCAAACCCATTTCTAAAGTAAACCTTAACTTTCAAACCCATTTCCAAAGTAAACCTTAACTCCCAAACCCATTTTCTTACCGAGCAATTACTTCTTAGAGTTTTAACCCCATTTCACAGCGAGCCTTCATTTCCCCTTTTTTGTATTTTTTGTGTTTTGCTTCTGTAGTATAAATTTATCTTAATTTTATTGGACTTTTGCATTCGTATTTAATACATTTATTAATAAGATGGATGATAAAGAAAATACGAAAACAGTTTAATTCGATTTAGCTCGAATAGGTCGAGCTCGGTAATCCGTATTCTCAAGATTTTTTTTATCCTGAATTTTTAACCAATATTTAGAAAATCTAAAGAAGATATACACCTAGACCTAGTAGACCTAGTAGACCTAGTAGACCTAGTAGACCTAGTAGACCTAGTAGACCTAGTAGACCTAGTAGACCTAGTAGACCTAGTAGACCTAGTAGACCTAGTAGACCTAGTAGACCTAGTAGACCTAGTAGNATACAGTTAGAGACACTTCAAGTATATAATACAGTTAGGAACTATTAAAGTATATAATACAATTAGGGACATTTCAAGTATACAATACAGTTAGGGACACAAGTATACAATACAATACATTTCAAGCATATGATACATTTTATGATGCACAAATCCTTGAACGTAGTAAAATAATTCTAGGTATTTCTTAAATTTGATTCAACAATTCATTCCAACATCCCACCCTAGAATATTGTAGAGGAGGGGGGGGGAGGAGGAGCAGGCTAAAGGGAAGGGGAGGAGGAGGAGGAGGCTAAAGGGAAGGGGGGGGGAGAAAGACAAAAATGCAAAGTAATGTTCTACTTGTGTTTATTATCTGTTCTACATATTACAGTTTGTCTGAGTTTGTATTAATATTTAAATATCTGCAATATGCTTAAATACACATAATACATAATAGTTGGGGATACAGGAGTAGACACTAGATTGTATTTAATTCTAGGTAGACAGTATTAATGCTAGCTATATGAAATCACATTATACCTAAACCTTTACTTTTCTATCCTATTTATACTATATTCTTGAATCTATCCTATTCTATTCTATCCTATTCATACTATATTCTTGAATCTATCCTATTCTATTCTATCCTATTCATACTATATTCTTGAATCTATCCTATTCTATTCTATCATATTCCCAAATATTCTCTTGTATCCAATTCTATTATATTGTGCTACCAGCAGGGAATGCATTACTGTTGTAATTGTATAACTCAGTTATTTCTATATAAACCTATACATGCAGTGCTTTACATTATACTCATTATAGTATTCAGAAAAAGGGGGACATCTCACATCTTTTATATAAAATAATTAACTATTTTTAGGTCCATGATTCTGCGTTTTATCCAATTCTAGATTTCCACAAGACAATATTCTATAAAACCCTCTATATTACAACTTTTTTTATCCAGGACTAATAAAATTAGAAGGAAAAGTAAAGATAACCCTAAAAAATATTTATTAAATGAAAGTGCACATCCAATATTTAGAAAATATTAGTTTTACCTTGACTCGTAGTAAAAATACAGATATATTGCTTTTATATGGTTAACAATGTCTGATTATGCTATATGTAGTTTGCACTCTATACACTGCATATTTTACAATCATTATAAATATATTTTATTTCAGTTGAACCTCCGGAGCAGGATTGCAGGTTTCCAGATTGGTTTGTAAACCACAGGACTTGGAGATCATTAAACTCAGAGATATATATCCAGGTTCATTCAAATCATGGATTCAAGTTGGAGAACTTTCAAGATAAATTCAACCCGGAGAAATCCTTCTTGAGCTGTCATTCCCTTGTTGGTTCAGATACATTGACAACCCGAGTTGTAACATACGTCAAGAGTAAATGTGATTCAGGTTTTGTTTGCACAGAAATAACTAAATCCTCTGATGGAGTGATCTCTGCTAGGTTTGGTCCTAAAGCCAGGAATCCAATTGAAGCTTGTAGTCAGCTTTACTTTACCTATTCTGTTATCAAATCATTTTTATTGGTTTCCAACCAAATTCCTGTACAGACATGTTCTCTCTCCGGTAGATACCAGTTGGAGATGGTTAGAGTACCAGGGGTATCAGGAGTACCTGGAGTACCAGGAGTATCTATATTATCTGATTGTTCTACTCCAACCTCTCTTCATCTCACAGCTGGTTGTGGATCCAGTTCCCTGACTGTAGAGTCTGAGTGTGAACCTGGAAATATTACAAGAACCTCATATACTTGTCATTCACACTGGACACAGGATGGACGAAGTAATCTAATTCTTCGTCGAGAAGATTCCATCTCCACAATATGTCTTAGCTCTGCGGATAAGCTACTCCACGTGGGAGATACTGGTTGTGGTTTAGAAGCTCCGGTTTACAGCATATCAGAGACAGGACCTTGCCTTCAAGCTCTCTCATCCCAACCTACTAGTTCTGCTCCAGTTCATGGTTTCTCATCTCTACTCTTCATTATGGTACTATACTTGTCCAATCCTATAGCATAGTATGGGTACTAAAACTTAAAGAGTAAATTAATCTTAGAACACACAATTCTAAACTCGATGTTTTAAATCTAGCTGCAACTGGAAAATATAAACCTCTGACAACTAAAATCAAAATATATCATATAATGGATATACAAACTATCCAAGTGAAATGTGATGAAACACAATTGAGGGAAACCCCTGAACAGTGTAATATGCATGAACCTTTATGCATGAACTGTACAACGTACACAAAACAAAGAATCTCGAAAAACAAATCTCAACAATATGTACTTTGTGCTCTAAACCCTCAATGAATTATGATTTTTTTGAAATATTAAATTTCTTTAATCACCCTCCCATTTCCCCGACCCGTAGTGGTATATCTGCAGTATGTATAATTATATTTATATATATGTACTCGTGTTTAGTGTGAAGTTAATCAATCAATCTATCAAGCATAATTCAAACTTCAACATTTTCAACCCTTTCAAAATTTTTAAGTTCACTTAAAAACAAATTAGATTCAAATTACTACAAATTAAGTAGATACTATTGTGAATGAATTTATATAGTTGAGAAATATTTGTAAAATTGCAGCTTTTGAATTTTGTCATTTCTGACAAGAATATTAGCTTGATTATAAATTAAAATATGAAATCCCTGTGATACCTTTGGCTGTGAATAAATATAAAGTTTTATTATTCTTATATTTGTTAGTGTCTAGAGCTCAAAAAAGACTTAATTTTTTAACGCAAGAAACTTTGTCTGCTGCGCTTAAAAGATATTTAAAAATAAAGATCAAACTTGAGTAGATTGTTTAGAATATTTGTTGAAGGATGCTGCAGGGCAGAATTCTGATTCCCCCTGTTGTTGGTCAGTAGTGCCTTTAGGTATACGCGGCCCTTGTAAAGTATATGTAGAATTTAGAGTATGAAAACCTAAACTTGTTTTTAAAATTATGGGGTAGGAAAACATACATTGGCACGTGTGGGCACTACTCCGGCTAAACCGAGTGTATAGACTAGTACCAAGAGATATAAATCTTTAATACTATGATCTTGGAACCTAGAGATACAACTCTTTAATACCATGATCTTGTAACCTAGAGATACAACTCTTTAATACCATGATCTTGTAACCTAGAGATAAAAATCTTTAATACTATGATCTTGGAACCTAGAGATTTTACTCTTTAATAGCATGATCTTGGAACCTAGACATACTACTCTTTTAATACCATGATCTTGGAACCTAGAGATATTACTCGTTAATACCATGATCTTGGAACCTAGAGATATAAATCTTTAATACTATGATCTTGGAACCGAGATATACAACTCTTTAATACCATGATCTTGGAACCTAGAGATATTACTCTTTAATACCATGATCTTGGAACCTAGAGATATTACTCTTTAATACCATAATCTGGGAACCTAGAGATATTACTCTTTAATACCATGATCTTGGAACCTAAAGATATTACTCTTTAATACTGTGTGATCTTAGAACTATTAAACAAATACGAACTGATCAAACTTAAGTAATCTGTGATGTAGTTTCTTGGACAGTGTAAGCACGTTAAACTAAAGTGAATATCACGAAAAATTGAAATCTTATAAGTTTCCAATCATAACACCTCTTATTGAAGATCTATTGAGAAGAAAAATATGAGTTTGAATTTCTGATATTTACCCAGGATAGAGGAGCTAAGAGGTCACAAAGTCGTTCCAATAATGTTGCAAAAATATGACATTCTCCTACTGTTCAATTTGCAGTGTAGGATGACTGATGAGTCCTGAAGGCTGTTATGGGGTTTAAACATCTCAATTTTGTCACATCTCGATTTTTCTATTCACGTGACCTTTTATATTCATTCTTTTATTGCAGCCAAATCAGATTTGTGTTGATAACCTGGCAAAATACTGATTATCCTTTACTCCGACTGGTTCTATATTTAACTGCTCTGTAAATCAGATTTGTGTTGATAACCTGGCAAAATAGTGATTATCCTTTACTCCGACTGGTTCTATATTTAACTGCTCTGTAAATCAGATTTGTGTTGATAACCTGGCAAAATACTGATTATCCTTTACTCTGACTGGTTCTATATTTAACTGCTCTGTAAATCAGATTTGTGTTGATAACCTGGCAAAATAGTGATTATCCTTTACTCCGACTGGTTCTATATTTAACTGCTCTGTAAATCAGATTTGTGTTGATAACCTGGGAAAATACTGATTATCCTTTACTCCGACTGGTTCTATATTTAACTGCTCTGTAAAGTGAGATGAAGGTATTTTACTGATCAAGGTTTAAACTGGATCTATTATCTGGAGAATAGACAGATTTTAGTATAATAAACCTTGTAAACCTTATCCTTACACAAGGATGAAAGTTTAATACCTGGTGTTCAGAAAATATAATTCAACCTATGTTTGCGAATTCTTTTTTGTTGGAACTAAAATAACTAAAGAATTATACTACGATGTTCAAGTACAAAATATTACACTCAACAAAAATTGGACACGCTGTGGATGCAGTAGTATAATCTGTATTATCCCTAATACTGAAGAAGTGTGCTTAAACATGAACCCTTGTTAAAGGTTTACTCCGTATATGTCGTTAGACTCCTTAATTCCTAAGTATGCACTGAAGATAAGGTGTTTGATAACAAAATATACTTTTTATTTTCAATATTATTAATGTTAATGCCGGTAAACTAACTGAAAATACCTGAAAACAATAAGCATTTTAAAGATACCCCGGCATGCTAGTCCTCGCACTAAAGATATCCAAAGAAGAAAGTTTATATCACACTTTTTCGTGGACATTTTTGTCACTCGTTTATCATTTACAGATTTTTCTTTCTACTAACTACTACATTTTGTATTTGATAACCAACATAACATTTATATTCATTTTTGGACACTAACTATTGTTTATACTTTGCTCTAGAGGAGGGTTCGGACCCCGGAATACCCGAAGATTGAGACAAATAAAGGCAATATTCGTGAATAGAGACGGTCCTGTGCTCTACTCCGTACTAAGATATACATCTACTAGATGAGATTGGGTATTAGAGAATATACAGAGAGGGAAGATCTGGTTTCGGGATAAACTTGAGATTTCTAGTATTTACATTATGTAGGATCTAGAAACTTCTCATCCTGGGAGAATTGTGAAAATATCTAGTTTCGTCTGATCAGTTCGGATCCTGACATATCCATCCCCAAGAGGGGGGGGGGGGGTAACTAAATCCTTCAGAGGTTTCTTTTCTAGGATGGAGGGAAACCAATGATACTCACGAACGAATCTGGGGTATTCAAATTTTTATTTAGAAAGCTTGTTAAAACCTCTAGACAACTAGAATATTTTTATCCTATATACTTAGAGTAAATCTGAACCTGGAAACCTACAGTTTATCTTAACCTGAATACCTAGAGTATATAATATATATGAACCTTGAAACCTAGAGTATATTTAAACCTGGAACCCTAGAGTAGATCTGAACCTGCAAACCTAGAGTATGTATGAACCTGGAAACCTAGATTATATATGAGCCTGGAAACCTAGAGTATATCTAAACATGGAAACCCAGAGTGTATGTGAACCTGGAAACTTAGAGTATATATGAACCTAGAATCCTATATTCTAAATGAACCTGGAAACCTAGAGTAGATCTGGACCTGTAAACCAAGAGTATGTATGAACCTGGAAACCTAGAGTATACATAATCCTGGAAACCTAGAGTTTATATGAAACTGGAAACCTAGAGTTTATCTAAACCTGGAAATCTAGAGTATCTATGAACCTGGAAACCTAGAGTATACATAATCCTGGAAACCTAGAGTATATCTGAACTTGGAAACCTAGAGTAAATATGAACCTGGAAACCTGATGTATATATGAACCTGAAAACATATAAAAAAATGAACCTGGAAACCTACATACCTTATTAAATTCATATTCATGAAGAACATAAATATAATTAAAATATACATGGTTTAACACATGACCTAAAACTAAAATAAAATCATTATACAGATATACTTCGCAGATGCGAAGAAATGTTTGAATAAAAAGTTTGATGGGGTGAGGTCCCGAGGTCTTGAAGGGAAGTATCTGGTTTGCTATGCATGGGTTGAAATGAAATAAAGATGTTAAGGGCGAGGGGAATGTTTTTGAGTTTCTTCTAGAGAGGTTACAAGGTTCAACAGATTATCAGAGAAGTTGACAGTCAACATCCATTAGTTCCCATCATATATATTTTCAAAATCAAAACAAAATCTCTAAATGAAATATTGTATTTTTTATTGAGGAGCCAGGTTTAGAACCAAATTTTCTGTCAAATCTTAACATTTTCTATTGATGCATGACTTATATAAAACTTTAAATAAAAAATCTACAAAAAAACTTATTTTTATTTCAGTTTTAAATCTTCAAGTAAAGCTGCATATTATTGGATTGCGCAAACCTGATAATTAAAATGGAATTCATAATTTAAACATTACAATTTTTTGACGGCATTTTGTAAAATCCAATATTCGTGGACTTTCATTTCTTGAGAAAGGTGATAAAGTAAAAACGGAATATAATGTTGTTTTTCGAAATTGAGAAAAATACAAAGGAAGTGAATCTCCAAGTTTAAAATATCTAAGGTTTACAGTATCAGGTTGTAAACATATAGGGATTGGAAAATTTGAGTTTCTAACAAAAGCTTAGTTCCTCTCAATCCTTTGTTTTGTTGCATGATTGTTTTTTGAATTCTCAAAAAAGGGGAAGCGAAAAAAATGGCGAAATTAATTCTATAAAATGAAAAGATTTGCTTCTTTGAACCTACAACGTAATCAGAACTTGATTTTTTTGTGTTTTTAAAAAACTAACTCATCTTTAACATTCCTGCCTTTTTCCTACTTTTTATGATTTGTTTGAAAATGAATTTGTTTTTGAAAATCTTGTTCCGCATGCTAGTGTAAAGTCCATAGTGTTGAATTCTGTTGTTTTCAGGCCTGTAAAGGTAAAGAGTAGTTCTAGGCGTGTTTCTTTGCAATATTCCCTAGTAATATTATATTTTTATCAACGCAATAATACTGTTCTTTAAAATATTAAAACGATCGAGAAGTTCATGGAACTAATGTTAAACGGAAACAACGATAAAGATTAACACTTGAAAACAATTAAAAAAGTAAAATGTTTGAAAATCGGTTTAACTTTCATAAACGTTAGCCGCTATTCTTAGCAAACTACAGCTTTTGTCGGACATCATTATCATGAAAACTATCTTATTTTTGGACATCATTATCATGAAAACCATCAAATTTTTGGACATCATTATCATGAAAACTATCTAATTTTTGGACATAATTATCATGAAAACTATCTTATTTTTGGACATAATTATCATGAAAACTATCTATTTTTTTGACATCATTATCATGAAAACTATCTATTTTTTGGACATAATTATCATGAAAACTATCTTATTTTTGGACATCATTATCATGAAAACTATCTAATTTTTGGACTTGATTATCATGAAAACTATCTAATTTTTGGACTTCATTATCATGCAAACTATCTTATTTTTGGACATCATTATCAAAAAATCTATCAATTTTAAAGATGATACTTTATCCACCAAACCAAATATGAATCCTAATAAATAAAAATAAAGAGCGTATTTCTAAAAAATTAA